CCCTAAACCCTAAACTCTATACTCCTAAACCTTAAACTCCTAAACCCTTCAAAAACCCCTAAAACCCCTAAACCCCTCAACCCTCCCTTGGAACTCTGGAACTCTAAGGCCTAAACCCCTTCATGCAGGAGGGACGCAGGGTCTCCGCGCTGTCACGTCGGGAAGAGTTGGGTGTAGGGCTTAGGGTTTATGGTTTAGGGTCTAGGGTTTAGGGTTTAGGGTTTAGGGTTTAGGGTCTAGGGTTCAGGGTTTAAGGCTTACTGTTTAGGGCGATGTGGTGCTGGCTGTACATGGCGCGGTTGTACTTGCTGCTCTTCGGGGAGTAGTTGATCCAAGCAAAGTGATATGCCTTGACCTCTTCCGCCGTAAAGGGGTTGGTTCTGGGCACCCTTGCTGTTGCCGTACTTCACCTGCATGGGCTTCTTCTGGCGCATTGACTTCACCAATGCGGGCAACCGCTTCACATCAGCTCCTGCAGGCCGCCGCCGAATCGCCTCACTCGAAGAAGCGAAGATTTCACCACTTCGGCAGAGATGTCCGGGGCATCGTCCGCCAGCATGTAGGTATAGGATCACAGCTACCACCATAGGGCCCAAGAATATCCATAAGAAGATCATAGTAGGTAGTTTTCTGGTACCTCCCAAACTACGCGTCAGTTTGAAATCAACACTGGGGCTCTGAACCGGTTTGAGGCTTTGGGTCCGAGGGTTTGGGGTTCAGGGTTTTAAGTTTTACAGTTTCAGGGTGTGGGGTTTGGGGTTTAGGGTTTAGGGGTTTAGGGCTTTAGGGCTTCAGGGCTTCAGGGGTTAAGGTTTAGGGTTTAGGGATTTCCCGAGATGCAAAATCCGAAAACCGAACGTCCAAAACCCCAAAGCCTCACAAGCTTGGTGTCCCGAGTTGACCCTGAATGCCCAACGTACACCTTTCTTAAAGGAAACTACAGCTGGGGAGTTTAGGGTATATAGGGCTCCTATAAGGCTCCTATAAGGCTTCTATATGGTATATAGACCTTCTATAAGGTTTAGGGTTTAGGGTTTAGGGTTACTATAAGGCTCCTATACTACCCACCTGAAAATGTCCTAGAACGAGACCCCGAAAAAAAATGGCCTGTTGGTGCTCTTGGCCGGGCTTCGACACCCTTATCCCCTCTTTAGGGTTTAGGGTTTAGGGTTTAGGGTTTAGGGTTTAGGGTTTAGGGTTTAGAATCCCCATGTAAACCCAAAAGCCCTGTAAAATCGGGAAGTCTTAAGCACCCTAAACCCTAAACCCTAAACCCCTAAGCCCTAAACCCCTAAACCCCTAAACCCCTAAACCCTAAACCCCCCAACACCGAGGAGCAGAAGAAGTTGTCCGGACAGATCTCGCAGGTTTCTTGGCCGGCAACGCCAACGGCGAAGAGACCCGCCTCGCAGTCGGATGCCGCCGGGTTTTAAGCGGGTTTAGGGTTTAGGGTTTAGCGTTTAGGGCTTAGGGTTTAGGGTTTAGGATTTAGGGTTTAGGGTTTAGGGTTTAGGATTTAGGGTTTAGGATGTAGGGTTTGGGGTTTACGGTTTAGGATTTAGGGTTGAGGGTTTAGGGTTTTGGGTTTTGGGTTTAGGGAAGGCATGAGCCTTTAACACAAATCCTACAAGGGCTCAGAGATAGGGGCCTCAATGGTTAGACTAGGGTTATGGGCTGTGTTATACCTATAATTACAAACGGCCTGTAAGGGGATACTGGAAATCCATGCGCAATACTTCTTCCGACCTCTATAGTACGTGTAACCCTAAGCCCTTAACCCAAAACCCTAAACCCTGAACCCGAAACCCCAAACCCTAAACCCAGAACACTAAACCCTAAACCCTAAACCCTAAAACCCTAAACCCTAAACCCTAAAGCCCAAAACCCAAAACCTCAAACCCTAAACCCTAAAACCCTGAACCCTAAACCCAGTTTTAGGGTTTGAGGTATAAGTTTCAGGCTTCGGCGCTCAGAGATGCTGCAACCCTAAGCCCTCCGAAAGGGTGTAGAGCCTAGGGGTTTGGGGTTTAGGGGTTTAGGGCCTGGGGGTTTAGGGTTTAGGGGGTTAGGGCCTGGGGGTTTAGGGTTTAGGGGTTTAGGGCCTAGGGGTTTAGGGTTTAGGGGGTTAGGGCCTAGGGGTTTAGGGTTTAGGGGTTTAGGGCCTAGGGGTTTAGGGTGTATGCCTTCAAGTCCTGAATCCGAAGGAGAACGCGATCGTGCATCCAACGGGTTTTAATGTAGATCCAAGAAGTGGATCTATTCGTCATAAGCATACTTGAAATCGAAGCATGAGATCGAGACCACACTCACTAACTTAAACCGCAAGCCCTAAATCCCACAAGCCCTCTCTAAAGCCCTTAACCATTTTAGGGATTGAAGTGCAAGCTTTTTGGTCGAAGCCCGCCTGGCATATGCAGTCCGTGCTGCTCATTGCGCCGGTTCCCCCTGTGGTGCGCTGCTCCTGCGACGGCTGATTCCACACCGGTTCCCCAACCCTGAAACCCCGAAGCTCCGAACCACTAATGTAGGGGCCTTAGTATTTAGAATAGGGTTTGGGGGTATAGTATACTATATTTAAAATAAACAGCTCCCAAAATAGCATAGGTAATTATCAAGGCCCCTATATTTTTTACTTCTTATGCCCGCAGTGGAGGGCGTCAAACTGGCTTCAGAGTGCTATTTCAGGTTAAACCCCTGAACCCATCGCAGCGTTACTAAACCCTAAACTCTAAACCCTAAACCCTAAACCGTAGTTACGGGTTTCGGGTTTATGGCTGCGGGCGTAGGCTCGCAGTGCCAAGCTTGCGCTGTCACGACATCGCCATGTAGGTTCGAAGAGCTTCAAAAACATTCAGGGCTTAGAGTTTCAGGTGTATAAAGGTTTTAGGGCTTAGGGTTTAGGGTTTAGGGCTTAGGGCTTAGGGTTTAGGGTGTAGGGTTTACGGTTTAGGTCTAAGGTTTCGGGCATAAGGGTTTGCGGTTTAGTTTAGGATTTATGTATGAGGGCTTGGCGTCTGAAGCCCTTCCAATGCTTCGGATCAAACCCAAACCACAAAGACCCAGCCGTCAGCAGGTTTGGGTTTACGGTTTAGGATTTGGGGTTTGGAGTTTAGGGTTTAGGGTTTGGGTTGTAGGGTTTGGGTTTTAGGGTGTTGT